CTGCGGACGGTGACCGGGGCGAGAGGGGGCTGTAGCACCTCCCACGCTTCGTGCAGGGCTTGAGCCTCTGAGCCTTTTACAGATGATACTTTTCACAACGCTGACGTATTTTGTAAAAAATAATGATGGGCCGAGAATGTACAGCAGCGGCTGAAAATCTCAGTGAAAAGGGGATCTCATCACACTGAGCTCTCCATGCAAGCTAAAGGAGTCCGTGGCAGTTTATTCTGTAATAGATTTGTTAGGGAGCACAAGCTGGGAAATTCAGGGCTCGTGAAATATTTATAATATTCCAGCAGCACAAATGGGTGTAGTTTAAGTGTTCTCTTGGAGCGCAGCGTTTTGAAGGCACTTTGTGCTCGTACTGCAGGCAGGGCCCTGCCCTCTCAACCCGCCCGGTTGTGGTTTGGGTGGATTTTGTTGCAAGTGGCACCTTTCAGAAAAGGCCCCTTGGGAAAGTTCTGTTTCCTCGTGATGCTGTAGCTCGAGCAATGCAACCACTGATTTTTCTGATGCAGCGCAGTCCTAAAGACTTTCTGGGTTACTGAACCCAAAATGCACATCCTGGGAGGCCAGAACGTGGTACCTGGGGTGATGTTGATGCTCTTGGCTCACACATCCTCTGGATCTTGCTCAGCCAAACTTCTGCTTCAGCAGAACTGAAAATGTTAGTCTTTGGGGAGGTTAGTGCAGAAGCTGTGGGAGAAATGAATCTGAACTGTTCTTATTAGCAGATCTGAAGATTCTGGAAGCCACTGAGGTCTTTGCAAGTGCTATGATCCCTTTTGAGGTGTTTATATATTAATGTTGGGCTGCAGAATAAAACTATGACAGTGGTTATAAACTCTCCAAAATGAGCTCTGGCTGCTTCATTGAGAATTGTGGAGCTGAGGTTCCATCCTGATGTGGGATCACAGGGACAAGGTCAGCTTGGGTGGAAACTTTCTCAGGGAGAAAGCCATGAAAGGTCTGATTATCTGACAAGCGTAATTGAGGATCTGTGTTCCTTTGATTAAAGGATCTTCGGTCAGAGAGGCAAATCAGCACTAAAAGCCCGAGAGAGACGCTGTGAAGGGAGGAGAAAAGCAGCCTTTCATCTGGGCTGTGCATAAAACACCACTTTGTGTGATCTCTGTTTTTAGATTTGGCTTTTAGAGAAGATATGAACTGAAGCTGAGAGGAAAGCAGCACATTAAGGCTTAGGATAAAACACTGGCCAGGTGCAGTCCAAAATCCAACAAACACCAGTGTTCCTGGGGTGAGCTGTCGTTTAAGAGGGTATTGCAGTGGGTAAAAATTAAAACTAATTTTAAATTAAACCATAGCAAGGATCATAAAGCAACTCACCTGAAGAAAAATCAAAACCGAGGGTGAAGTGTTTTTATAGCTTGGGCCTTAAAATAAAGGTTTGACACTGTGAGGGTGGATAATGGGTTGAGAAATCAAAGTATAACAGGTGAGCTGGGCACTTGAGGGCAGGTTATGAAACTGCTGCCAGTGGAACAGCTCATCCCTGGGGATCTCTTGGGAATAATGTGCTGTCCCACAGCCTGGCTGGCCTCAGCAGGTTCTTGTTTCTTGTGCACTGTTGACACACCGTGAACGCTTTTTGAGTTTGTTCAGAGCATTTCAAGATGTGGATTAAAACTCTGGAACGTCACGTGCTGGTTTGGCACCCTTTGGAATGGGATTGGCCACTGGAAACTTCACCCTCAGTCCCCATTCTGTGGTTTCACACTGGCACCACACAGCATCCGCTTTTTGGGGGAAGTGAAAGTGAATTCATGTAGTGAAACTTCAGTCTCTAAAATTTGGACTTGTCCTGGATCAGAGCAGATTTTGTCCCTTCCTGTTACTGATGTCACTTGGTTGTGCTCAGTTGCTAGGGACAGAAGCAGCCTGTGTGTGGAAAGGATTGGGACACGACCCTGGAGTTTGTATTTCCAGTAGTAAGTAGGTATTTAGGGAGGAACTGAGTAGCTTGGAAAGGAGGAACAGAGGTATTTAAACTGAAAATAGGCTTATGGAGAGTTCTTGTGTGAAACCCAGGAATTACTGCTGATAGCTAGGAACTGGTTTGATGAAATATTGGAGTGATTTGGGGAAGATGAGAGTTCATAGAGGTTGCTTGGTTCCCTCTGTGCCTCACTGTTCCTCAGCAATTTCTCTCCTGTCCTCAGCTCCAGTTATGTAAAGGCTGGTTACTCTCCCTTGCTCGCAGCTGTATTGGGCTGCAGGTCAGTGTGGAGAGAATTCACCTCTTTTACTGGGCACTTAAACCCCTCTGTCACAGAATGTGCTCACTGGCAGCTGAAATGTTCAAGCCTGAGCTGAGTTTGCAGCCCTGCAGCATCTGTGCTCACAGGGGAGGCTGGCAGGCAGAGCTGCAGCCACCGGGCCAGGGCAATTATGTAACCAGAGAGCGGAGTTCTCCTTTAAAATATTTAACATCCTTAGGTTAGAATAGGAAGGCTTTGGGTGAGTTTTTTTTTATGTGTTTTGTGATGTAAATGTGGAATTGTGCCGGGCTGTGCCTTGTGGTTACCTTAGGAAGGGCTCCACAGTCATGCTCAGGGATGACCTATTTGTAGTAATAATCCTTGCCTGGAGCAGCCTCCCTGGTAGATCCCATTCTCCAATATCACCCCTGCATTTGTTTCTCTGCCATCCTGTTCACGTGCTGCTTGGGATTCTTTATTTTTGTTTTGAACAGATCTCTTCCTTCACTTCCTTTAGGAGCTTCCTTTATAAAATAGTAATATGTAAAAAAGAAATAAATTCTCAAATCGCTTTTCCATCACAGCTTTTTACAGTGTTATCTCCCCATCAGTTGCTCACCCGAGGTTTGATGATGATTAAGCAGGACTATTTGTGAGAGAATTAACTGTTTGCAGGGAGTTTCCAGAGCTTTTCTGTGGTGTCCATCATATGGATGGAAGCAGCTCCATGGAGCCAGAGCCAGCCCATATCTCCTAAGTGTTGGGAGTTGTGCTGCTCTTTCTGTAACACAAGTGAGATGTTGTTTTTAGGTGATTTTTGGTTCACAGAGACACCTGCCAGTACTCTACACTTAAAACACACCTTTCCCACTCTTCCCAGTTCATGCTGTTTATCAAAGTCACCCTGAATGTAGCTTTAATCTATGGACAGCAAATATCTTTCTCCATGGAAATTTAACAGACGGTATTTCATGAAACTTAATTAATGGATGATAAGGTTTTGCTTTTGAAAAGTCTGCAGAAGAGCTTTGAAAGCCTCTGGCAGTTACAGATGTGCAATTTAAATGAGAAATAGGTTTTAACAAAATTAGGGTTTCCATCTGCCTCTGATGCTTGCTGATGTTGGGAATTCTATGCCCATTCTCAGATAAATGCCATTAGTGGCTTAAAATAGCATTAACATTTTCCTTTGTATTTTACAGTGAAATGCAAAGAACAAGAAAAGACCACAGATGTGAAAGCAATTAAAAGTAAGATGAAACTTTTGTCTGTAAATTCAGATCTCTGCCATCATCCAGCATTTTTATGTTACCCAACAGGATCATTTCCTTACTCCTGAGCACAGATCTGACCTGTGCATCAAACCCAGAACTTAATTCTGTTTCTGGGTTCCTCCTTATCTTGCTGCATCTGTAGGTGCAGAGGGTTATTAAGTTATGTCAGCTGTGAGCTTTAATTCAGAGTGATCAGGCAGTCTGGTCACCTTGCACATGGTGGTTGTTCCTTAACCACAAAAAATTGCTCCTGAAGTTTCTTGCTCAGGCGCAGTGTCCTTTGGAGTTTGGAAAGTGGAGCTTCACTGTCTGATTTGCAGAAGCTGCAGATTTAACTTTGATGGGGTTTGTGAGGCTGAAGATCCAAATCTTGAAAGAGCTGTTCTGCTGCTGGTTTGTGTGGTGCAGAGGTCTTGCTGCTAAGTCTCGTATGAAAGGAGAAAAGATCTTGGTGGAAAAGATTTATAAACTGTAGAAAAACAAGTTTGCTTATCCTGTCAGATTTTCTTGCAGTACTGAAAGGAGATGAGGTAAATGCCAGAATCAGATCTGTTACTTTTATACCCTCAGACAAAATCCTGTGTCTGTGCTTGGTAATGTGTTATCTGCACATCAAGAGAAAATGACAGGCTTTTTTCACCTTGGTAGTCTGTCTTTCAAATCAAATGCAGGAAACAGTGAGTTGCATCTTATTTCATAGCCACTCCTCACCTTTCAGTGCAACTACCAGTATGCTGACTCTGAAAATAAAAATAAACTTGAAAATTTATAGTATTGCACTTTGTGAGCTGCTGCAGCAGAGAGCACCTTTGCTTGACCCGTAGAGAGAGTAGAACTTTTTTTCCCTCAAATGTCCATAATATAAAATTAAATTTAAATCTCATTGACAAAAGCCTGTAGCATTATGAGGAGTGTGGTTCTGGCTCTACACAAGTAAGCTCCACCAAATTTTCCCACTGCTGCCATCCCTTGGCCTTGGAAAAAAGGTATTTTCTCCATTACTGCTGGTATGAAATACCCAGAGGCTTTGTAAGAAGCAGCAAGTGGTGTCTTCGTGTCCAATCCTGCAACTGCACAAACACTTGGCAATAATTTAAATGTTTCCATTGCTCCTGAGGTATCTGTGGTGTGACATCTAAGTGTGAAATTGTCAACTGCTGTCATAAAATTTGGAATAAAAATAAAGTGATGCAGCATGGAAGTCATGAAGCCCAAGTTGCCTGACACCTTGATGGAACACATCCCTGGGAGGTGCTGAGATAATCAGCTCATCTGATGTGCTTTACTTTTCAGTCAGAGGTGTAAGATATCCCTGCATGACATCCTCATCTAACACAGCTTCCTCAGAGCTTTGGAATCTGCTGTGAGCATGCTTGGGTTTTTTTTCAGCTTTGTCATCAATTAACAATTAGCAGAATTTTGTGTGAGGAAGTTCTTTTTTTTTTTTTTTTTTGAGTTCCATTAGCCACTCGTGTCCTAAAACAGCCAGAGGGGGTTAAGTGTATAACCTAGGTTTCATCAGAGGTATTTCCTTATTGATTTCTTTTCTCTTGCAACCAAGCAGAAGCAACAAAAGTATTGTTGAGAAATAGCTCTTATTAAACCTCACAGATGGCTTTGTAGTTCAGGATTTTTTAACACATTTTAGCTTTCAAAAAGGCATGGAAATGGATTGGCAGGAGCACTGGAACTAAGCTAAATTCTTGGCAGAGTATAAAGTTGTTGCAGTAGTGGTTATCAAGGAAGCAGGAAGACACAGGAATATTTCATGTATAAACTTAGACGTGGCATCTCTTGATTTGCTGCTGAATAAGGAAAACAGAGGTGGGTGGGAGTGAGTTTATTCTTGCAATTACAAAACTTGTGGTCTTTAATCAGCCCCTTGACCAAAGATGACACACAGTGGTTCAGTGAGGTTTTAATGAAACTGACTTTTGCAAACTCCCTGGTGTATTTTGGGGTACTTAGAATCTGGCAATGCTTAGAAGAGTCTTGGGGTCCTTGTGCTTTAACAATTCCTGTCTTGATTCCAGCTCCAATCCCAGTACATTCCCCTCAGAGAAGCACTAGGAATCATGCCTTGCTGGAGGCTGCAGGACCAAGCCATGTGGCCATCAATGCCATCTCTGCCAACATGGACTCCTTCTCCAGCAGCCGCACAGCTGCCCTCAAGAAGCAGCCAAGTCACATGGAAGCTGCTCACTTTGGAGACTTGGGTAAGGCTATGATAATATCAACTTTTCTTTTTATTCTGTGTATTCCTGTGCACTCACCATCCCTTTGTTTTCAGGTAAATTAATAGGTAATAAAAGTGTGGCTGCTGTTACGGTAGCATCTGTGTTACCCTCAGAGGATTTTGAAGGGAGCAGACAATCCCTTTACTTTGTCATTATGTTGGAATTGCCTCTTCACAGTTGCATTACAGGACACTTTTGTACCTGTCCCCCACATGTGTGGTACGTGATGTGTTCATTCCCTTTCATTTTATGTTTTCCTTTAGGCAGATCATGTCTGAACTACCAGGCTCAAGAGACCAAATCAAGCCTTTCCAAGACTCTTGAACAAGTCCTGCAGGACAGTGTAGCCCTCCCTTACTTCATCCAGTTCATGGAGCTGCGCAGGATGGAGCACTTGGTGAAATTCTGGTTAGAGGCCGAGAGCTTCCACTCTACCACCTGGTCTCGCATCCGCGCGCACAGCCTGAACACAGTGAAGCAGAGCTCCCTGGCAGAGCCAGTGTCCCCCTCCAAACAGCAGGAATTGGCCTCCTCTCCTCCTGCTGGGTGGCTGGAGGAGAGGCTGGAGGGCTCTGGCACAGCCCAGCTGCTCCGGCCTGAGCCCGACAGAACTGCCAGCTGCCAGAACAACGTGGGGCTGCTGGGGCAGGAGAGCCACAGCACCAGTGCTCTGGCTCTGAGGAAACCAGAGACAGGGACTCACTCTCTTCCAGCTGATCAGCAAGGATCTTCCAAGCTTTCAGTATCAAATAGAAACAGCCCCTCCTCTGCACTAAAGGACTTGTCAGGAAAACTCATGAAAAGTAAGTGCTGTGTGTTCTCTTTTGTTGAAAAGGTGGGAAACGGGGAATGTTTTTGTGCTGGAGCTGCCTCAGTTCTCAGGTTCTTAGCAAGCATGATGCGATGCAAGGAAGAAAGTTTTATGTATCACTGATGTTAATTTGCTGCTGGTCAGTTTGAGCTGTGTATTGTTTGACTTGTTTAAAAATAAAAAAGCTGCTGAAGAGACTTCAAAATCATTGTGTACTCAATGAGCATAGGTTGCTTCTGTTCTTCCATGTGTAATCATAAGAAATTAAGTGAACATCGCTGTTTCCAGTTCTTCCCTCACCCATCTCATCCCACCTTAAAAGAATTGTAGAAAGTTTGGATGGTGGGGCTGAGAATTGATAATTAACCTGCCATGGAAGGTAAATATCCTGTATTACATAAAAAGACATAAGTAGTGGTTGCAAGAGACTTGTGGAGATTTATATGTGGAATGTACTGCTTTTGTTCTTGGATTTATTTGATAGAGTTCCTCCCCTTGTAACTGATTTGTTGTCATTTGGACTCCACCTCTTCAGAGGCTGCTGGAAGTAAGAATGAAATTAAAATATTTCCTTTTGGTAGTGAGCTACATGCACAGTAACATGTTTCTCTACTTTGCATCTACTCCATCCTCCCTCATTTGTGCAAGTCTGCAGGCAAAAAGGAAACACTTCTTTCTTCATATTGGTTCCTTTTGTTTGCCCAACTGTTTCCTCATGTTGCATCCCTTTCTCTTGCTGTTTGTCTTTCTCATGTAGTTATTTATCATGTGCCTCCACAATACATAACCTCAGCCCCAAAGTCACTTAAACAAGGAAAATTATGTTTTAGTCATCAAAGCAGTGCTGCTTTCTGATGTCTAAAAAGAATTTGAAAACACAGGGTCCTTATTGAGAAATTGGAAAAGAATTTGAGTGTAATTTTTTTCTCTCTTCCAGAGCAGAGTCACAAGTCTCAAAAGATGATGTGTAAAGAACACAATTTGTTTGAGGCATCTCATTTTAAGATGCTTTTTTCCCTACTAATTCCCATATAATGCAAATTATTTTTCTGTGATGAGAGTTAAAAACTGGGAATTTACTTGCCTGAAAGGTGTTGCTTCTGGGACTGTGGTGTGCAGCTGAGGAAGTGGGTTCTGCCTTGTGTGGTGGTAGGGAAAATTTGGAGGTATGTTGTTTTATTCCATCTTAGTCCATGCTGGGTTTGTTGTGACCTTGCTGGAGATCCTACAGTCCCTGCAGCTGGTCAGGAGCAGAATATGAATATCCTGCAGTGGAAACATCACTGAGAATTAGACACCTGCTTTTCTGAAAAGAAAACATTTGTTTCTCACTGATACCAAGGAATTCCAAGTTTGATTCTGTATTTCTTCCCTGCAGGTATAGAACGGGATGCAGTTAGTACTTTTACCAAATATATTTCTCCAGATGCTGCTAAACCAATCCCTATTACAGAAGCAATGAGAAATGACATAGTTGGTAAGAATGAATAACTGCTTCCTGATTTTAGAGCTGCTCTGTCCCAATAAAAATGTGTCTCTAATTTGTCACACACTTGTATTTGTCTTTACTTTTATGAATTTTAAAAGCAGCTGTAAAAAGATAGGAGATTAAAAGTATCACTGGATCTGACCTTCAGCAGTGCTGTGAATATCCTCATAAAAACTTTCAGAGATTTTGTTGAAATTAGGGAAAGAATTCTTGGTAGTTATGTAGGGGATCCAGATATGAGTCTCAATCAAATACTTTAGCCATATTATTATTTGGCCAGCTTTGGAAGCTCTTTGCTCAGTCAGAACCAGCTGATTCTGGTGGATTTGAACTGCAATTTTTCATTAACTAGTCCTTGCTCACGTCTTTCAGCTCCATCAGCCAAATCCATGTGAAAATTAACCTGGTCTTTCTTTGCAGCAAAGATCTGTGGGGAGGATGGCCAAGTGGATCCAAACTGCTTTGTTACTGCACAGTCCATAGTGTTCAGTGCAATGGAACAAGAGTAAGTTGATACAGTGGTTTGGGTTCTTGTGTCTCTTGTCCTAAAGGTTCTGTTAAAAATGTTTATGGAGACATAACCATATCAGCAATTTTCTGTGCTGTCTTCTGTATTTGAAACTGCTCAGATCCCCTTCTCCAAAACATTCTTGCTGAACTTGGCTGTTCACACTGTTGTGTTCTTTATCTCTTGTGCCATTTACAAACCTGCCCTGTGTCCTGCTTTTTTTACTTTTATCCAACCAAAAGTATCAGAGTTCTGGGCAAGACCTAATTGGTTCTGAGGGTGCCTTGGGTGCTGCTGGCCCTGATAGCTGATTGTCCCTGTCTTTGTGCAGGCACTTTAGTGAGTTTCTGCGAAGTCACCATTTCTGTAAATACCAGATCGAGGTGCTGACCAGTGGGACTGTGTATCTGGCTGACATTCTGTTCTGTGAGTCAGCCCTGTTCTACTTCTCTGAGGTGAGTATCAACGTTTGGGTTTGCTTTTAGATCCCTTTCTAGCAGATGACAAAAAAATCTGTTCATTCCTTGATGGCTTTAGGTGGGATATTGGGAAGGAATTTTTCCCTGTGAGGGTGGGGAGGCTCTGGCACAGGGTGCCCAGAGCAGCTGTGGCTGCCCCTGGATCCCTGGAAGTGTCCAAGGCCAGGTTGGATGAGGCTTGGAGCAACCTTGGATATAGTGGAAGGTGTCCCTGCCCATGGCAGGGTGTGGGACTGGATCATTTTTAAGGTCCCATTCCACCCAGACAATTGTGTAATTCTATGATCCTAAGTATAATAGAAACCCAAAGTGTATTTTTACTGAGAGAAAATGCACTGGACTTTTTCCTGTCCCTGTGTAGAACTAATTCAAATGTTCAAACTTATCCATTGTGTTGTGGAATGAATATTTTTAATTTCCTCTCCAGTTAGTGAGTGCTTCTCAGAGTCTCTTTGCTTTGTAGAAGCTTTGACACTGTCTTCTTGATCTTCACATTGTAGTGACTGTAAAAGCTTCAAGTGTTATTACAGATGACAAATTATAACCAGTGCTATGTGGAGAGGGCACCTTTAGTGATGTGATAGGTTAAATAAAAGATTTCACAATTTCAAGCTTCTGCACCTTTAAGGAATCAGCTCTTGACATACTTGTCCTGATAGCCTGACAAGCTGATGTAGTTTGAAACTGCAGAGACAATGTGCTGAGCTCAGTGTAAGCTAAATGTAGCATGAAAATGGTGTTTCCTGTCCTAGGACAGACATAGTTTTTTGGAAACTAAGTGTAAAAATAAGTACAGAAAAAAAAGTCAGAAGTTCTCTTTTTTATTTCTTTTTTTTTTTTCCTTCCAAGCAAGCAAAATCTGTCTGAAATAGAAATTCAAAATATTGTGTCTTAGTGACAATTTTGCATCACTAACATATGGCGCATGTTTCTTGTTCTAAATGGGAAGAAAGAAGTTAAAAATTATTAAAAGTTTCTTGCTAAAACTTCTTTAATCTCTTCTTTTTCTGATTTCCCTTCCAGTACATGGAGAAGGAAGATGCAGTTAATGTATTGCAGTTCTGGTTGGCAGCAGATAATTTCCAATCTCAGCTTGCTGCCAAAAAAGGCCAGTACGATGGGCAAGAAGCACAGAACGATGCCATGATTTTGTATGACAAGTGAGAGAGTTCAACAATCTTTTGTTTCTTTATTTGTGGTTTTGTGTTGTGCTGTGCAAAAGGATCTTCTCTGCACTCTTGTGCTCTGCTGAGGTGCATTTTGTCAGGGTGGCTTTTGATGTGTTTGCACACGTGAACTTTTCAAATTTTTTGATATACATGGGGAGAAATCCTTACAAGGATTCCGTTCTTAAACATAATTCAGGATTTTCAGGACTTGGTTGCTTGAGTTTGTTTGGTAGGGAAATATCGAAGCTGATTGGTTGATGTGTAAAAATGGAAGGGGTTTAAGCCTAATAGCACTGCAGAAAAACCTTGATGTTCAGGTACTGTTAAAAGTAGGCTGTAGAAACAGTTCTCACATGCAATAAAAGCCAACTAGTGCTTGTTCTTAGTACTGTGAAATATTTTCTTTTTTTAAGGGAGCAATCAGATCCTTTTTAATATCAGACTGTCAGGAGATGAACTTTGTTCCTGTGCTTTGTGCTTCACTTTAGCAATAAGACAGCTGGGAGACAGACAGCACAACTGCTTCCAGGATGTGTTTGTTCTTAAGCTTAAGTGTGAGGTTCTAACCTCACTGAGTTATTAGCCAAGGAGGAAATAATGATTAGAGAGGAAGCAAATGCTTCACTCAGAGTTTCATCAGTTATTCCTCCAAACTTTAACTCCATTTGCAAGGATATGAGCAGAAGAGGCAATGCTGCTTTGGGGTTCTGGGTGTTTCCTGCTCCATTCCTGTCTTCCATTCTCTGTTTTTGATCTGTGTTTCAGGGCAGGGCTCTCAGAACCATTTCTGGGGGGATTGGGGAGGGATGTCTCACCTGTAGTCGGTGGGGACCAGGTGTGTGCAGGTTTTTGCAGTGTCTGGGGGACAGGTGGGCACTGAGCACCTTCAGAGGTTTGCAAATCCTGTTTGTGTTGTTTCCGTGCCCTGCCCCAGGTACTTCTCCCTGCAGGCCACACATCCTCTGGGGTTTGATGACTCTGTGAGGCTGGAGATTGAATCCAACATCTGCAGGGAGGGGGGGCCTCTCCCCAGCTGCTTCACCACTCCCTTAAGGCAGGCGTGGACAACCATGGAGACGGTGAGATCCTCCTTCAGAGTGGGGTTCACACTTAGTGAAGGTGATGTGGAGATTCCTGATTTGTCCCGTTCCTTTACTGACTTCCTGTTTAGCTGGGTAATAGAACAGCTTCAGGAAAATCTGCCAGACTCTTTTCCCCAGCCCGATTTGAAGATACCACCCACTGGCTGCTGTTAATGCTCTGTGAAATGTTTGTCTCGGGTGATTATTGCAGTTTAATGGAAGTAACAGAATTTCCTCCCATGTGAATTGCTATCAACAGCTTACTTTATATCTTCAGAAAATTTTCCTTCCTCTTTGTAGGAGTTGTTTGCAAGTCTGATAGAAGTGCTGTGGTTAATAATGTAACTCTGGGATACCCAGATACCAGAAATGAATGATTTGATTCAGAAGCTGCAGAGAATTGTGAACAGTGAAACAGAATAATTGTAAAGCCATTTGGGCTGTCAAGCTTAACTTTCTAGAGGGGAAAAAGAACCCTGAACTTCAGTTCCAGTTACTGGGGGATTTGATTAATAGGCAGTTGGGTTTGTTTGTTTTACAGTAGGATTAAAATTTAAAACAAGGCAGTTGCTAATCCACAGTAATTCCATGCATGGATGCTTTCACTTGTGTTCCATCTACACAAGGACTGAGATGTTTGTGTGCTCTTCTCTAACTATGCAGACCAGCCTTGATTAAAGATGACTTTCTGTCTCTCAGGTTTTCCTACCTGGTTTCTTGTCCAGCAACCTTTACTACAAATACTTGAATGACCTCATCCATTCAGTACGAGGAGATGAATTCCCAGGAGGGAACATTGCACTGAGTATTCATGGCCCTGGCAGCTCTCCTGACAGTGATTCCATAGGGAGCATGGATGGCTCTGCCTCCCAGGTACCAATTTGGGTTTTCTGTGTCAATATCCGAGCTTTTACCCTGTAAGGAAGCACCATTCCACTTTCATTTAAAACCTGTGTTGTGTTAGGATGTGTTTAATCTACCTGCAGCTCAGTTCTGTCAGAAGTGTCTCTGATATTTGTTGTACCCAAAGCCTTGTGCTGCTGTTACTTCTTTACATCAGTGGATGTCTTTATTGAGGTGCTACTATTACTGAAGACTTTCTCATGATGCCATAATATCTAAGAATGCTTGTTATTAGAAATAATATTATTTTGTCAATACCATTGTTAGAGCTTCAGGTGAAAATTGACACTTGTGAATATGCTATCAAATTTAAATATAAACATATGAGCTTTGTGTGCTCAGTTCTTTTAAAGTGCCAGATCTTCTGTCCTGAAATGAGTAAACTCATTTCCAGGGCTGAAGGCATCAATCTGGTTGAACACAGGACAGCTTGGAAACTGCAAGCCCAGCTGAGAGCAGAAGAGTCAAGCAAGAGCTGCTTTTATTGAACTCTGTAGGGCTACCCTGAGCTTCAAATCCAGTATCCACATCATTGTTAGTCATGTCCTGGCTTTCCAGCCACTTGGAAGCTGTATTACCTGCTTGTACTATTTTTAAAACTCCTAATTTGCAGGGAGGGAATATTCCTTCCCTAGTTGTGAAGTGGGGAATAAAATCTATGTTCTTGAAGCCTCCTGCTGCTTGATCCTCTGAGCAGGAGGAACTGCTGGTAATTGGCTGGGCAATTTAGGAAATGAGGGGCTGCTTTCTGTGGTGTGCATTCCTGCTTGTCTGAATAGGAGAATCTCTGGGTCTCTGCATATTTTTGCATAAAGAGCAGCAGGAAAGGAGCTGCCATGGTGTTCCTGTTCCGTGCTGAGGTGGTAATGGATCACTGTGTGTTGTGCCCTCCCTGCTGTTGCTCTGATGTTTCCTTGGCTTTTTTTTTTCATCATCTTATATAAATACTCCAGGCCAGAAAATAAATGTTTGTTCTCTGTGCATGGGGGAGGCATCTATGTTTGGGAATTGCTTACCAAGAGCAGGAGAGGGATGCTCCAGACTCACAACAAATGGTTTTCAAGCACACAGTAATCTGTGGAGCTGATAATGATCAGAGAGCAGCGTGTGCTGACCTGGGCTTTGTGTCTTGGGCTCTGTCCACAGAACTTTATCATCCTCTGCTAAAAACAATATCCTATGAGTTGGGAATTCAAGGCTGTGTAGACACACTAATTCTTTTATACTCTTGCTTAGAGAAAGTTTTGTTAAGAAGCTGGTAGTTGTCTGCATTGGGCACTAATACTTAGAATTTTTATTTGTAGTCCAATGTCAAAAAGGCTAATGTTAAAATCCTGAAAAATTTTGATGAAGCAATAATTGTAGATGCTGCAAGTCTGGATCCAGAGTCTTTGTATCAACGAACATATGCAGGGTAAGGTTCATTTCAGTGTACTGTTTCCTTTCTGGTTACATGTTTCACCTCTGTTTCATTTTTGCTGTGTCCTCCTGCATGGAGAGTAGGCCTAAATGCAAGATCTTAGTCCATGTCTTAATATTCGACACTAAATTTATTTCAATAGTGTGATTTAACACCCAATGAATGTTTCTTTGACCAAAATGGCAGCCAGGAAAATATTTCTAATTGGTTTTTCTCTTCCTCTTAGTTATTGTTCCTATTTGATTCCAAAATATAGCCAAGTATATAGCCAAATACAGCTTTCCATAATGCCAGAATTCTTTTGATCACCCACATGGTTCTTCACTCCTCTCCTCAGGAAGATGACATTTGGAAGAGTCAGTGACCTGGGGCAGTTCATCAGAGAATCTGAACCAGAGCCTGATGTCAAAAAATCAAAAGGTTTGCTTTGCTCTTTCTCTCCATTTCTGTAAACATCTGTTCTCTTCCCTGCTGGAATTAAGATAGGCAAAGTGTTTGACTCTTTCCAGATCTGTTTTAAGCCAAATAGAGATGCTGTGGGGGATTGGCCTATACTGAGGAAAAACCCATCTCTGGCCCAGTTTCCTTTCCAAATTCTGCTTTTCTGGTCCAGCTGGACTCTGTGGAGCACGAGCAGCCTGTGGGAGTTGGAGCTCGATGGAACCTGGCAGGGATGGAAGCATCAGCAGCCGAGCTGGTGATCAAAGCTTTGGTCTTGAGATGAAAAAGAACTGCAGCTCTCCACACGCTTCCCACCCAGGCTGGAACCTGCTGCTGGTGCTGCTTTTCAGCTCTGGGAAAGGCTCAGTGTCCACATGGCTCCAGGCAGTCCCTTCTTTCCTGCCACTCCTCCATGTCCTGAATGCCAGCAGAGCAAACCCTTCAGAAGGATGACAGGAATCAGCCTTGTACTTCACTTTGCTGACATACTTTGCTTGCTGTTTTTATCTCAACCAGGGTCCATGTTTTCACAAGCAATGAAGAAATGGGTTCAAGGAAATACAGATGAGGTGTGTCCCCTTTCATGTTCTTCTTGTAACTTTACACTTCAGAGAAATAAAGTATTGATATTCTTAATCCTGGCTGTTATGTCTGAGTATCTTTTTGCTGCACCAAGAACAGGGAGACTCTGTGTGCTAAATATAATTTGACTGCATGTATGTGTGAAACTAGTTTGCTCTTCTCCAGTACTTGCTGGTTGAACTAATTAATTGTGTGCTTACAGTCAGGTTTTTCTTACTGTGGTTTTATATACCTGTAAGTAGGGGTGTAAGAAATGCTGTTTGATTTTTTTATGGTGAAGTGACCACTTCACATGGATTCCAGGCTGCATTTTTCTCCCTCTGAGTGGCTTGGACAAATCCCCAGGAGATAAATCTCAAATCTCCACTAACTCTCTTGGAAACTACATCAAGCCTTAAGTACAATTATTGAAGTTAACACTACTTGGAAGCAAGGTGCATTTCCATTGAGGGAGGATATGTTTATACAGGTTATGGAGTTGTGAAGTTCACCTTGATTCCAAGGCTGTGCTGAGAGCACTGTATTTTTCTTTTAAGAACCTGAAGCTATCTATGTTTTGGGCTTTGTTTTTCAGGCTCAAGAAGAGATGGCTTGGAGGATAGCAAAGATGATTGTCAACGACGTCATGCAGCAGGCGCAGTGTGAGCAGCCTTTGGAGAAGGTCACCAAGGTAGGGGGGTGGACAGGCTGCTGTCTTCATCTGGCTCCAGCCAGGCTGTGGGAGGAGCAGAGCTCTCACTTGCCTTCCTCCTGTGGCTGAAACCCACGCTGGTAAATTTTCAAACCAGCAGAGCATGAGAGGAAGAAACAAAGGTTGGAAGTGTTTCAGCCTACGTGTGATGTAGGAATTTCTTAACAGATGCTTATGGTGGTTCTCCTGTGCAAGCGTTAAACTTAGAGTCTACAAACTGCCTAATTAGTTAAAAGGGTGATCTGTGCTGCAGGATGAAGTGTAATTCCTTACTTGAGCTCACACTTGCTGTGTCCTCTTAGTCAGTAGTGGTATTTCTGCTTGAAGTGTCAGTAAAACTCAACAGCTGTGAATTTGTCTCAGTGGGTGCTCTCATTTATGCAGTTCTGTCTCCAGACTTCAAAAAGACACAGTAACCCTGTCCATAGGTTTGGTTAGTGGCTGTGTTGCTATACAGCCCATGTGCTCTCTGTCTAAAAAACACCCATTCTGAGGTAGCAGTTGGATTTTGTGAAATATTGGTGACAGCAGGTTACCAAATTAATGTCTGGTACTTCTGACTTTCGGGCATGTGAGTTTCTAAAAATTAACTTGAATTATGTTCAGTTCTTGAAGGTAAACATGTACCAAAGCCCAGTTATTTGATCCAAATGGTGGATCCATAGATTCACTGTGTGAGTGTTTTCTTTCTAATAGAGCAGTAACATTTAAGTGACTTGTATAACGATTTCACTTAATAGCTTGTCTGCAAATGATACAACTCCAGTCTGCCTGGATGAAAAGGTCACTCAGCACAGTATTTAGAAGTCTCAAATGGCTGCAGATGCTCTGGATTCAATTAAGCAAGTAATCAAAAGGTTGAGTGTATTTGGATTAGGTTTTGGGATTTTTTCTCCCCCAAACTCAAACAAACCTAGCTTCAATGTTTTTAAACATGAAACGTCTTTCTATTGAGCAATTATCTTGCATGTTTTAGTGTAAAATGAACTATTTTTCCCTTTTCCAGCTATGATTTTAGAAACTCCAGGACAGAAAATCTGGTTTCCCACTTTGAGAATGAGTGAACTTTCTCTATTGGTGGATTCTTTAACACAGCCAATAAAAACAAAGCACTGTTACTCCAACCACTGGAATCTCCCTCATTTCTAAGGAAGAATGAAAAAGAAGCAATCCTGGACCTCCACTGCAGAGAGTGAAGAAACACTTTTCCCTGGAGCATGTGGCATTCACAGTAACGATGGTTCTGAAATGAAGATGCAGTTTACAAGAAACTGTGATCAACTTCACAAGTACTTGACCTGTCTCAAAAAAAGATTTCTAAGCAAAATATCTGGAATGGGACACAGAGGCCACAACAAAGGGGAAGGTTGTGGTATAGTTTCTAGTTCTACTGCTTGTAGTTTTTAAACACAGAATTGGAAGGGCTGTGAGGCAAATCCATTGGCAGTGAATGACCTGGAAAGTTCTAAGTTTCATTTTCCATTACTTGAAATAGATGAGTATTCACCTGTAAGATAAATGTATTTTACTTCATAACTGCATTAACTTTAAAGGCAGTGTAGAAGGGTCAGGAACTCCTCCTTGTTGAGCTCCTACACCTGCACACACACACCCACACACCTCTCCTGCTTCTACCACAGAGCAGATCCAAGGCTGGTCCTGCAGCCCCTCTGCTCCCACCTTCTGAGCAGGTTGGACCCTGCAGGCTGCTCCACTTCCTGTCCTCACCATCCCACGAGCAATGAAAAAAGGAATTGCTGCCATTCTCCATCGCTTGTTGTCCTCCACCCAGCGTAGTATCTAATTCCAGATGTTTGGTTTACAAAGAAAAACAATTTTTAATGCCCTCTGGCCTTCTTCCTGACACTGTCAACACTTACCATGTTACACAGCACCTCTCTTTTTTTTCCCCAGCAAATTGATTTTGCAGGGTAGCAGAAGTACTCAGTGTCTCACCATTATGTTACTGCTGCATTTTTAGTATATGACACTTTTATTTGGGGTCTTTTTTTCTTTTTTTACTCTAATGATTGCTTTTTTCCTCAAACTTGTGCAAAGAAATCACTATGTGAAGAACTCAAATCATTTCCAATGTTCAGAATATCTTGATTGACTAGAAAGTGTCATTCTGTTGCAATATTTGATTGTATAGAGACACACTGTATTGTTATGAAAAAGCAAAAAGGCTGTGTATAGGTTTTTGGTACTATGTACCACCTCTTATTTCTCTCATACCCAAGCATTCATGTACTTAAAACATACTATATTTAATTGTGTTTTGATTTAAAATATATAAGTATTAAAATTTGTGTTGATTTTTCTGTTTTCACGGGGTTTGAAGTTACGTGGGATGTTTTTTATGTGAGTTTTAGGGGTAATTTTGTCCACATTTCTTAATGGATTATGTTAATGGCAGTGTGGTAAATTAGAGTAATTCTTATTTAAGTAGTAAATAAGGTGTTCAGTCACAGGACTTGGCAGAAGTTGGGCTGGAAAAGGTTTAAAGGGGCAGGGGTTGGTCCTGAAGTATTGAACCACACTAAACTCGTGCACCCCTGCCGGTTTCCCCCCAGGCAGGACCCCGACTAATCCTGGGCGTTTGGGGAGTACAAGTCCCAGATTTGGCTACGGACAATGCTCAGAGCCGCGTTTCCTTAACCCTTGGGCCGGACTGAATGTGAAAGGCTCGGTCTATCTTGAGTCGTTTTGGCATCAAATCCCTGAGCTTTTAGAACCGCGGTGAGCTCCGTGCGCGCGGGGCCCTCGGGAGTTGTCCCTGCGCGGCCTCGAACCCGCG